ATACCCACAATTTGTGTCACAAGGATTGAACTGGAGTATATTAGGTTAAGTGAAATAAGTCAAGCAGAGAAATACAATTATCTTATGGTTTCACTGATTTGTGGAACATAAGGAATAGCATGGAGAACATTAGGAGAAAGAAGGAAAAAATGAAGGGTGGGGAATCAGAGGGGTAGAGGAATCATAAGAGACTATGGACTCCAGGAAACAAACTGAGGATTTTAGAGGGGAGGGGGTATGGGGGCCTGGGCTAGCTCAGTGATAGGTATTAAAGAGGATATGTATTGCATGGAGCACTGGGTGTCATATGCAAACAATGAAACATGGAGCACTACATCTACATGGAGCACTACACTACATTATGTGACTGACATAACATAATAAAAAAATTAAAAGAAATAAATTACTGGTACTATAACAAAATGCAAAACTTTTACACAATGAAGGGAAACATCAACAAAAAATATACCCTGCCAGGGGTGCCTGGGTGGCTCAGTGGGTTAAAGCCTCTGCCTTCAGCTCAGGTCATGATCTCAGCATCCTGGGATTGAGCCCTGCATCAGGCTCTCAGCTCAGCAGGGAGCCTGCTTCCTCCTCTTTCTCTGCCTACTTGTGATCTCTGTCTGTCAAATAAATAAATAAATAAAATCTTTAAAAAAATATATACCCTGCCAAATGAAGGAAGATATTTCAAATCTTTTATCTGAAAAAGCATTAATATGCAAAATATGTAAACAACTTATACAACTCAACAAAAAAAATGCAATTAAAAATGGGCAGAAGACATACACAGACATTTTCCAAGCACAACTTATAGATGGTAAAAAGAAACATATAACCATGGTCAACATCACTAATCATAGGAGAAATGTAAATCAATAGTGAGATGTCATTGCACACCTGTCAGAACGGCTAAAATAAAAAAGATAAGAAATAAAAAATGGTGAAGTGATGATATGGAGAAAAAGGAATCCTTGTGCTCTGTGCGTGGGAATGTGAATTGTTGCAACCACCATGGAAAACGATAGTGATATTTCTCAAAAAATTAAAAATATAATACCATAATCCACCAAGGAAAACAAAAACACTAATTTAAGCGATATATGTACCTCGATGTTTACTGCAGCATTGTTTACATTATTGAAGATATGGTACCATCCCAAGTGTCCTTTGATTGATGAATGAATAAAAAAGAGCTGGTATATCTGTACAATGGAATATTACTCAGCCATAAAAAATAAATGAATTCTTCCCGTTTGTAACAACAAGGATGGATCTAGAGCACATAATGTTAAATGAAATAAGTCAATCAGAGAAACACAAATACTGTATGTTTCACTCATATGTGGAATTTATAAAAGAAACAGAAAAAAATTGACAAAACAGACCCTTAAATATAGAGAATAAGCTGGTAGTTTTCAGAGAGGAAGTGGGGGGGGATGGGCAAAATAAGTGAGGGGGATTAAGAGTACACTTATCTTGATGAGTAATGAGAAATATATAGAATTTTTAAGTCATATTGTATATCTGGAACTAATATAACCCTGTGTATTAATTATACTTACATTATTTTTTTTTAAATTCAAGGTTCTGAATCATGGCATGCTTTACTAACATAATTTCAAAAGTGAATTCTTTTAATCCAAGAGTATAAACAGAGGTGACCCTGAAACATGGCATTAGCCTTATGATTCTGTTATAAGAATCATTAAGATTCAAGAAGGGTAAGACTATGCTTCTTTAAACCGTTACTAAAAGAGACCTAAGACCCATTAACACAGTTTGCTCATAAATTCCCCAGACAGAAACGAAAAAAAAAATGTATCTTTTTGAGACTTCCACTTAGAATGCATGGTTCCCTTTTGTGGCTCATAACTCCCTTTTAATGTGCTTTGTTTTTGTTCATTTTGTGGGAGTAGAACTGCTTGGAAAAACAGATGTCAGAAAGTCCATTAGTGTCATATGAACCTGCAGCTTTTTAAAGAAACCATATTCATAACCAACCAAGTATATTCCATGTGCTGTTTTTGGAACTGTCAATACAGGAATGAAAAAACAAATAAGGCTCACTGCCTATTTGCAGCTTAAATTCTCACTGTGAATACAATTAATAAATAAATGAATAAATATGGAGTTTTAGATAAAGATGCTATATATGAAGATAAATAAATAGGGTTCAGGGTTAGGAGACTGACAGGACACTTGTTGGGGAAGTAGATAACATAGGATATGGTAACCAGGGAAGGCTTCTATGAAGAGATAACATTTAGCCTAAAATAGTGAATGATGAGAATGTTTAGTCATCCATAATGCAGAGGAACATTCCAAGCAGAGGAAACAGCATAATGCTTTGGCAAAAATATCAATCAATCGGGGTGCCTGGGTGGCTCAGTGGGTTAAAGCCTCTGCCTTCAGCTCAGGTTATGATCCCAGGGTCCTGGGATCGAGCCCCACATCGGGCTCTCTGCTCAGCGGGGATCCTGCTTCCCTTCCTCTCTCTCTCTGCTTGCCTCTCTGCCTACTTGTGATCTCTGTTAAATAAATAAATAAAATCTTTAAAAAAATCAATCAATCTTGGTGCATATGAGAAACAAAAAGACAACAAACAAAAATGCATGCTAGTTTGGCTAAATTATATAAGAAATATGAAAAAATACAGAATTAGAGTGGAAAATAGGTAGGGTCTAGATAATGTAGGCATTGAAAACCAAGGTAAGAAGTTTGAGCTTTATTCTGAATGTAATGGGAAACTACTGGAGTGTTTGAAGCAGGAGAGAATAGAGATAGTAAGACTACTTAGGCACTCTTACAGTATTTCAGGAAAGATAATGATTGAAACTATTTAAGTAGTAGTAGTTAAGATGCAGAGACATGGACTGATACAGGATATATTTTGGAGGTAAGGTAGAGAAGTTTTACTGACTGATCATATGTAGGGGATGAGGAAATGAATGGAATCACAGATGATATCCAGGTTTTAAAAGATCAAGTGGGTGGATGGTAGCACTATATATTAAGATGGAAAAGACTGGGGAGGTATAGATTTTGGAATGGGTTGGAGTTGTTATGTTAATTTTGAGATGTCTAGTAGAATTCAACTGAAAATTTCAAGTAGTTGGTTAATATAAGAATTTGTATTTCAATGGAAAGACCATAGGCAAAACATAGATGATATTTAAAGCCATTGGATTAGATGGATTTACCAAGAGAGGGCTGTAGATAGAAAAGGTCAGGAACAAAGTCAAACATGAAGAAGAGGGGGATAAAATAAAGGTGACAAAAACTATCAGTAAGTAGGAAGGAAACAGGATAGTAGAGTCCTAGAAATCAAGTAAAGTACATATTTTTAGAGAGAGAGGTTATTTTAAATGATGTTGGATTGTAGAATCAGATGAGAGAGGAGAAATCAATGGATGAAGCTATGAGAAGGTATTCAGTGAATCTTGAAAAAAGCACTTTCAGTAAAGCGATAGAGATGGAAAGTGATAGAGATGGTAGCTATGCTTATGGAAGCTAATTAAAGAGACACTTAATCTGTATGTATACAAGCCCATAACATACCGTGAAATGTTTTCTTTTACAATTAAAATCAATCTGTGTCCCCAACTTGTTTTCTTGTATTTTATTTATTTTTCATAAACTCTTCTCAGGGAAAAGAACCCAGCTACTTGCAGGTCTTTCTTTTCATTTGCCTTAAAATTTATCCACCAGTACATTCTCATTTCTTGTAAATATCATTGCCCTAATGGTCACTCACCCATTGATTCAGCCTGTAAAACTTAGCATTTAACAAAGAAGTCATTAATCAGCTTTGAGTCTTCAAAACTGACTTTTTGAGTCTGCTTGGAGAAAAATAGACTTAAATTCCAGACTTTCTGACAGAAGTGAAAAAAAAGATATCTAAATAAAAACAGGAAAATATATGAAAAGAAAAATGAAGATATATACATAAACTTTTATTATAAACCAAGGATAGAAAAAACTTGGAATAAAAAGTAAAGAGAGATCTTCATGAGACTAGAAGAGGAAGTAGAAGCCCCTTGAGAGAAAACAAGCATAGGAGAACAGGGAGGAAGTGGAGGAAGGGAGGAATTTAATTGACACAAGAAGCTCAAGGTTAAGACTCAGCAATATCTATCGAAGCTCTGAATTTAGCAGAACATTGGGCATCCGCCCTGTCGTGCTGAGAATTGACAATAAACACTGTGAAAGCAGAGGACCCAGAAACCATGCAAATGAATTATTTCTCAAGGTCAGAGAGAGCCTGCAAGGGTGGAGAACATGGGAAACAGGAGACACTACATTCAAACTGAGATGTCTACTTATTCCCCTTAGAGCCAGGTTTTGGAAGAAGGGGGATGAAAGAAGAGATCTGGAGAAAAGAAAATAAACTAAATTTACAGAGCATTTACTCCCAAAGAGAGCAAATTAACCTGAAAGAGACTAAAGGGATCTAGTTATCCCTGGCAAGTTAATTTATTTCCCTGATTATCAGTAAGAATGAGGACTTATAAAGAAATTTAATTGAGATACAAATTAAATTATTTGATTTGCATATTTGAATCCATGCATGTTATGTTTTTACTGTGCTATGTCTGGCTTTTGATTGAGTTTTTACTATATTTAGCAACTGCTTAGGAAATGTCTTTCTATCTCATTAAAATCTGCCCCTATAGAAGTTTTAGTCAATTTTCATTTTTTATTCCTTCTTAAGAACATGTAACCACTCTTGTAATTGTATTCTCTTTACAAATAATTTTAAATGTTTTCTTAGATGCAAGCCAGTTCTCTGTTACAGTCTAAATATTATTCTTAACTTTTTGACATTTGTTTTCCAACTCTTTTGAGTCCTTTTGAAGTATTCTTCATTATCCATTAGTCCTTAACTTGTAAATATTCCAGTAAAATTGAACTACTCTTAAGGAAAATATAAATTCAACCCTTTAAAATATTTTTCATTTTAGTCCATTTTTTTCTAAAATAAAACACAGTAAACATACCAAAGGAGCATATCTTGGTTTTAGAGGTGCAGCAGGCATCTTGCTCTGACAGAGACGTTTGATCTTGGGTGATGGTAGCAAAGGCTCACACGGAGGTAGTGGTGGTCTTTCTCTTGATGGAGGGACTCTACCTGTATCTGTTTTTTTCCCTTTTTCTTTGAATGTAGTCTTTTTGAATGACATTTTGGATTCTCTCTTTAGTTCCAGTTTTTCCTTCTTTGAATCTGTAGATGCAGCATCTGATTCGCTAGCAAGTCTCTTTTTAGCCCCAAGTTTATACACTGACTCTTCAGATTCAGCATCTGAACTTTTGAATGTCTCAGGCTTCTTTGAGTGTTTCCTGGAAAATTCATCAGATTCTGCATCAGTAGACTCTATGACCTTCTTTGCATCCTGTTTTTGTGCATCTTTCTTTGAATCTTTCTTAGTCTTCTTTGAATCATATTTATCCTTCAGATATTTATCCCAATCAGATTCAGTTTCAGTAGACTCTTCAGACTTCATTGCAAACTTATTTTTGTCATCTTTCTTTGAATTTCTCTTTTCCTTTTTTTCATCTTTTTTACCCTTTTTTGAATACCATTCAGATTCAGAATCAGCATCAGTAGACATTACATCCTTCTTAGCATCCTTTTTCTTGTCCTCTTTTTTTGAATCTTTCTTATCCTTCTTTTCATCTTTCTTCCATTTCTTTGTCTCCAATTCAGAATCACTTTCAGCATCGGTAGACACTGCATCCTTCTTTTTCTTGTCACTTTTCTTTGAATCTTTCTTTGCATCCTTTGAATCTGTTGAATCTTCATCAGTCGTCTCTGTGTCTTTTTTTGCATCCTTTTTCTTGTCACTTTTCTTTGAATCTTTCTTAGCCTTCTTTGAACCTTTCTTTGCATCCATTGAGTCTACAGATTCAGCATCAGAGCTTTTCTTTGCATCCTTTTTTGTGTCCTTCTTTGAAGTCTTCTTTGAATTATTCTGAGAGTCATTCTTTAACCACATATCACATTTTATGGATTCAGCACCAGACTCCTCCAAATACAGTCTGAAACCCATACTTGAACTATTGTTTGAACAAATATGTGCTTTGGCATCAGAATTGTTCTTTGAGTCTTTAGAATCCTTCTTTGCACATGTGAATTTGTTATCTGTCTCTTTGGAATTCTTTGAATCTCTCTTACCTTTTTTTTGATACATTGAGACCATCTTAAAATCAATGGATTCTGGATTTATTTCTAATTTGGACTTTGAATCCTTAGATAGCTCACTGTTACATGATGATTTTGATGGAGTTTTAGCTGCTTGATTTAGTCTTTTAGGTTTCTCATCATTTACCGTTTTAGATTCTGTAGTTGTTTCATGTGGGCCTTTGTTTCTCTTGGAATTTCTCTGCAAAGTTCTTCCTTTTTTGTCATCTTTGGACTTTTTAGGTTCTCCATTTTCATGATGGGCTTTAAGAGTATAAGGATTTCTGAATGGAGCCTGTCTCCTGACAGTTAAGTAAACAGATGGCCTTTGGAAAAATTTTTTTAAGGAATGCCTTATCCTTATATGAGCTGGCTTCTGAACTTCCTCTAATTTTCTTTTGACATGTCCCTGAAAAGATTATTTAGAATAATGATAAATATTTTAAAATAAGTTATATATTTTTAATATTGAAACATAAAAATTGTCTAGTTTTTCATTAACCATCTACTTAAAATGGAAAAAAAAATGTTGCAACATTCTGTGTGTGTTGCATATGTGAGATAACTCCACATTAGAAACCAAATGACTTCAAACCTTAGGATTTTCTCAATGACTTATACAGAGATTGGAGCAAACCCACAGTGATCCATGATATTTAAGGGCCCATCCTTACCATTGATAGTGGGTTACCATTGATAGTGGGAGAGATCTTTTAAAACATATTGGGTACCCTTCATCCCCAAGTTAGCTCAGAAATAAGCTGACTCCCTTGCAGTTTGTCATGACAATGCTCGTGATAACTGTAGGCTTCAGCCTTAGCTTGATTTTTACTCCTGCTTTCAACATCTCTGATGAAATCAAGCCTGTGAGAGCCCTGGTGTGAACTATTTACCAAAACAAGGACATAAATTAAACAAATATCTGATCCTATTAATTTGTGTAGCAGTAGTGTAATTTTTTTAAGTCTCAATCCCAAATCTGTCAAATCTGGTTCAATCTGGTTCTCAAAGTGGAAACATACATCAATTTTGCATTTATCTTTTATAGCCCTTTAACTATTCAGTAGGGACATCACCAGTCAATGAAATGGTCATATATAATTAAAGGAGGACAATGAAGAGTAGCAGGAAACTTGGATCACTACAGATGTAATGAACAGCACTTAAATAAATGCACTGACTGTAACTCTGCTTTGGGTGATGCTTTTGAAACACATTTTGATATTACCATGGGTGATATCAGACTTCACTTAAATTATAATAGTTAAAATAATATGAAGAGTAAGAATGGGAAAATAGAAAGATTTGATGTTTCCTTTCAAACATCTCCATCATCTTCTCTTTTTGTAAGCTAGTTTTTCCTTTTCCTTATTAATAATATAATGGCACTTTATAAAAGAGGTAGAAAGCTTGAATGCGCCAGTATCTAGTATTCTGAGTGCCAGATTAAAGAAAATGGAGGGGCCCTGAAACTTCATCGACATTGGCTCATATTCTAAGATTCAGTTTAGATGTTTTTGCAGCTAATAAATATTTCCTGAGAGATCACACTAGCAGCAGCATTAGGTTCTGTAGCTTACATAGCCTACTAACTTTATAATGCCTTTGAAAAGGAGGATTAAGTAAAGGTGAAATAAATAAAAATGTATCTGAAACAGATGGAGGTAATCTGTACCAGTAATTATGAATTTAAAAATTGCTTCCAAAAAGAAGTAAAATTCAAATTACATATTTTAATTTATATTTGTATATTATATAATCTTAGATTTAGTTAAAGATGACATTTTCAATACTTACAGAAACTGAGATTTGTGATCCTGAAGGTCTTGATCTCCTTTTTCTACCTGGCTGGAGTGGTTTGGGAAATGTCAAAGTAAAATAATCTTGATTCCATAATTTTCCACTTGATTCATTGACTAAAATGAGTGAGAACAATGAATAATTCACAGTTAATTGATTTTAATCAGCACTGAAATATTCTTGAGTAAGAAATATATTGTTTAAGATAAGTTATAGCTTAAAACATAGCTTTTTCCTCTGGACTGTATAGTTTATTTGCATATCAATTAGGGAAAATAAAAGATGATTTCTCCATTTAGCACTAAAGTATGTTTAAAATTACATTGTAACCTTATTTTCTAGATTAAACTAGTTTTCACAATTTTCACTTAAAGCATAGTGGTTGAAATAATACAAACAGTAGGAATGGAAAATAGAGAAAGATTTGATATTTCCTTTCAAATATCTCCATCATCTTCTCTAGTTTGGCTTTTCTTTATGTCACGCTGGTTATGTTGCAGACAACATGTCTCCTATAGTCCCTATAGTTGCACAATGCAGAGCACAAAGTAGTCAGTAAAGTCTTTATTGATTAAATCTAATCATTTATTTTAGTGGTCTGACCTTAATGATATCCAAACAGAATTCAGGGTTACAAACCTAAATCCTGATTTTAGTTCATGATCAGTACATTCAAATATTTAAAGAACTATTATATGAAAGTGTAGTAGCAATAGTAATAACAGAATAGCTGAAATGGCTAACATTTATATACTGATGATTATTTGTCAGACTGTTTTAAGCACACTTAATTATCAAAACAACCCTTTGAATTAGATATAATTTATAATTGTTTCCATTTTATAGATGTACAAAAGTGAAGCACTGAGAGAAGTTAAATTGCTTGCCAAAAATCATAAAGTGGAAGAGCTGAGATTCAGAGACCTATAGTTTGGCTCAGAGTCCATGCTCTTAATCACAGTGTTAGAGAATTCTATTTATTTCCCTAAGAATTGGACTAGGACCAGTGGGTTAGAGTTGTATCAGTGCAGGTAGATATCAGCTCAATATATAGGGAGAACTTTCCCTAAGTTGTAGCTGTTCAACAAAATGAAATGTCCACTTTCATCATTTTGACTATTTTTCCTGTACTCTGGGTTTTATAATTGTGGATTTTAAACAAAAGGAAAACTTACACAATTAAGGTTGATTTTTATAGTGAGGAAGAATAAACTATTCACTTTAAAATAGCTAGTACAAACCCACACCAAGGTCAGAAATATTTTAAACACACATACATTCCAACACACATAAACATATACACATAGTATAGACTCTTTTATTTTATTTTTTTTAAATATAGGCTCTTTTAAATATTAAGAAAAAATCAGTGTGCTTTATGTTTTATAACATTGAATTGAAGGTACTAGTCATTTGTCCCTAAAATAATTTTAAATATAATCTAAATAATATTGTACTTTAAAGATTCAATTCTTACTTGGTATGGAATTATCATTTGTTCTGATGTTCACTTCTTGCCTGTTTGAAAAAAAGCTTCAATTAAACTTGTGCTATAGTTAATAATAACTAATAATAATAATATGTCAATAATACAATAATATTATTTGTAATATGATACAGTATGATTATAATATAATATAATATAATATAATATAATATACCAGTGAGAATGCCTGGTATCAAAAGACAAAAAAATAAGTGTCTGTGAGGATGTGCAGAAAGGAAACATTTGTACTCTGTTGGTAGGAATGTAAACTGCTGCAGCTACTGTGGAAAACAACATAGAGGTTCCTCCAAAAACTAAAAATAGAAGTACCATATGATGCAGTAATTCCACTTTTGGGTGTTTACTTGAGGACAACAAAACGTTGATTAAAAAAAGCCATATGAGGGGCGCCTGGGTGGCTCAGTGGGTTAATCCTCTGCCTTCAGCTCAGGTCATGATCCCAGAGTCCTGGGATCGAGCCCCGCATTGGGCTCTCTGCTCAGCAGGGAGCCTGCCTCCACCTCTCTCTCTGCCTGCCTCTCTGCCTACTTGTGATCTCTGTCTGTCAAATAAATAAATAAAATCCTTAAAAAAAAAAAAAGCCATATGAGGGGCGCCTGGGTGGCTCAGTGGGTTAAGTCTCTGCCTTTGGCTCAGGTCATGATCCCAGGGTCCTGGGATCAAGCCCCACGTCAGGCTCTCTGCTCAGCAGGGATCCTGCTTCTCCCTCTCCCTCTGCCTGCCTCTGCACCTGCTTGTGATCTCTCTATCAAATAAATAAATAAAATCTTTAAAAAAAAAAAAAGCTTTATGAACCACTATGTTTACTGCAACATTATTTATGATAGCTAAGATACAGAAGCAACCCAACTGTCCATCCATAGATGAATGGCTAAAGAAGATGTAGTATAGGGGTGCCTGGGTGGCTCAATGGGTTAAGCCTCTGCCTTCAGCTCAGGTTGCAATCTCAGGGTCCTGGGATCCAGCCCCACATCGGGCTTTCTGCTGAGCAGGGATCCTGCTTCTCCCTCTCCCTCTGCCTGCCTCTCTGCCTACTTGTGGTCTCTGTCTGTCAAATAAATAAAATCTAAAAAAAAAAAAGATGTAATATATATATATATATATGTATATATATACATATATTGAGAAATATGTATGAATATAATTATATGTATATATGAATACAATATGAATATATATGAATATAAATATTAAAATTTACATATATACATATATAAAATATTTCTCAACCATAAAAATAATTAAATATTCCCATTTGCAGCAACATGGATGGGCTTAAAAGGTATTATACAAAGTAAAATAAGTCAGATAAAGAAATAAAAAATTGCTATATGATTTTACTTATATGTGGAATCAAGAAAAAACAAACAATGTATATATAAACAAAAATAAAACAGACTTAAGTACAGAGAACAAGCTGGTTGTTGCCAGAGAAGAGGGTGGCAGGATGAACAAGATAGGTAGAGGATTAAGAGTTATAAAATTTCCATTATAAAATAAGTAACAGGGATGAAATGTATAGCACAGGGAATATAACCAATATTTTAATAATGTAGTATGCTGACAGATGATAACTGCACTAACTGTGGTGAGCACTGCATAATATATAAAATTCTTGAATCACTATGTTCTACAACTGGAACTAACATAATATTGTATGTCAACTATACTTAAATAAAAAAAGTAACATAAATGTTAAAACATGCCAAAATATTATATATCTCCTATGTAATAAATAACAATTATTCTATAAACATTGATAAACATATAACAAAAATAATTTAAAATTTGTACTATTGCTAATAATAATCAAAATATTGTTATAAGCCTTCAGTTGTAACACTTTGAATAATTTTTTTAGTGTAGTTGATACAATGTTACATTAGTTTCAGTTGTACAATATAGCGATTTCACGAATTTATACATTGTGTTATGTTCACAAGTGTAGCTCTCATCTGTCCCAATACATTGCTGTTACAATGTAACTATTATCATCATGCTATGATGACTGTCAACTATCGGTTCCTTGCATTTATAGGTCTGATTCTTCTTCTTGTTTGTGAATTTATTTTTTGAGATTCCACTTATAAGTGAAATTATATGATACTTGACTTTCTCAGCCTGATTTATTTCATGTATCATAACACTCTTAAGGTCCATCCATGCTGTCTAAAATGGCAAGGTCTCATCCTTTCCTACTGTTGCATAATATTCCTGGTAAAATGTATTTAGATGTTTTCCTCTTTTTTTTATTTTTTAGAATATTTTGAGGAGAATAGTATTAAATCTTCTTCAAAGGTTTGGTATAATTCACCTGCGAAGCCATCTGGCCCAGGACTTTTATTTTTTGGCAGTTTTTTTGATTACTGATTCAAGTTCATTACTAGTAATTGGTCTGTTCAGATTTTCTATTTCTTCCTGATTCAGATTTCAAAGATTGTTTGTTTCTAGGAATTTATCCATGTCTTCTACATTGTCTAATTTGTTGATACATAAATTTTTGTAGTATTCAATTATAATTCTTTAATTTCTCTTGTGTCACTTGCTACTTCTCCTCTCTTATTTCTTATTTTATTTATTTGGGTACTTTCTCTCTCTGTCTCTTTTCTTGATGAGTCTGGCTAAGGATTTATCAATTTTGTTTATCCTTTTAAAGAACCAGGCCTTGGTTTCATTAATTTTTTTTCTTTTTCTTTTTTTTTTCTTTTTAGTTTCTATGCCATTTAGTTCCTCTGACCATTGTTATTTCCTTTCTTTTACTCACCTTGGGATTTTTGTTTGTTTGTTTTCCTAGCTCCTTTATATGTAAGGTTTAATTGTTTATGTGAGCCTTTTCTTGTTTGTTTAGATAGGTCTGTATCCTAATATATTTCCTACTTAGAAGTGATTTTACTGTGTCCCACAGATTTTGTGTTTTCATTTTCATTTTTCTCCATTTACTTACTTTTTATTTCTTCCTTGACTGTTTAACTCATTGGTTCTTTAGTGTCATGTTGTTTAGTCTCCATGTGTTCATGTTTGTTGTCTATTCTAGTCTTTTCTCTTGTGATAGATTTCTAGTTTCCTACTATTATGATTGGAAAAGATGCATGGTATGATTTCAAGCTTCTTATATTTATTGAGGCTTGTTTTGTGTCCTAACATGCGACCCACTCTGGAGAACGTTCCATGCACACTTGAAAATAATGAATATTCTATTGTTTTTGGATGGAATGTTCTGTATATACCTCTTATGATGATCTTGCCCAATGTGTCACTCAAAGATGTTATTTCTTTGTTGATTTTCTCCCCAGGTGATCTATCCATTGATATAAGTGGGGTGTAAAGTATCTTACTCTAATGCATTGTCATCAATTTTTCCTTTTATTTCTGTTAATATTTATTTTATGTATTTAGGTCCTCCACTGTTGGGTCTGTAGATTTTATAATTGTTGTAGCCTTCTGTTGGAGTATCATTATGTAATGTATCATTATGTAATGTTTTCTTTTTGTCTCTTGTAAACAGTCTTTTTTTTAAAGTCTATTTTTCAATAAGCAAATAAATAAAGTCTATTTTTTCTGACTTCAGTATCACTACCTTGTCTTTTGTTTCCATTTGCATAGTATGTGTGTTTTTTTAATCCCTTCACATTCAGTCTCTTTATCTATAGGTCTGAAGTCTGTCTCTTGTCAGCAGCATATATAGATGTTAGGTTTATTTTTTATCCATTCCACCATCCTATGTCTTTGATTAAATAATTTAAGTCATTTAATTTTAAAGTAATTCTTGATATGTACTTATTTTCATTTTGTTAATTATTTGCTGGTTCTTTTTGCAATTCTTCTTTTTTCCTTTCTTCTTCTCTTGTTCTCTTTCTTTTTTATTCCTAGTTTTTATAGTCTTACATTTGTCTTCCATTCTCTCTTTTTATATATATATATCTATCATAGGTTTTGGGTTTGTGTTTGTTATGAGGTTCATATAAAAAATCTTATGTAAATAGCAATCTATATTAATTTTGTTGTCATTTAAGTTCAAAGACTTTTAAAAACTAATTTATTTTTCTCTTTTCCCTTCTTTTTACTCCTTCCTCCATGTTTTATATATATGTACATAGTCATATATATAATAATCATTTATATATCATTTATAGTCTTTTTTATGTTTTTATTAGTAATTTTCTTACGTCTAATTAGGGTCACTTTTTTTTTCATTTTAAAGTCCCTTTATCATTTTTTATGTAACTAGTTTATTTGTGATAAACTCTTTTATTTTTTTTGTGGAAATTCTTTATCTCTTCATCAAATCTGAATAATCTTGTTAGGTAGAGTATCCTTGGTTGTAGGTATTTCCTTTCAGCATTTTGAATGTCATTGCATTCCTTCCAGGACTGCAAAGATTCCGCTGAAGCCTTATGTTTTCCCTTGTAGGTAACTTTTTGCTTCTCTCTTACTGTTTTAAGGTTCTCTATCTTTAACTTTTGACATCTTAATTATTTTGTCATGGTGTGGATATCTTTGGGTTCATTTTGTGTGGAATTCTCAGTGTTTCTTGGATTGGGTGTCTATTTCTTTCCCTGTGTTAGGGAATGTTTCAGTATTATTTCTTCAAATATTTTTTTTTCCTATCCTTTTCTCTCTCTTCTTCTTCTTCTGGGGCTTCTATAATATGAGAGTTTGTTTCCTTTATGTTGTCTAAGAGTTCCTTTAACCTATTCTCAAATTTCATTTTTCTTTCTCTTCTTGTCATTTAGTTTGAGTATTTTACATTGCTCTGCCTTCTAGATCATTGATATATTCTTCTATATCTGCTGATCTGCTGCTGAGACCCAGGACTCATTGAGGTGGGAGGCCAGTTAGGGTGCTCAGACAGCACTGGTCTGTGCTTTCAAAGTAAAGGTGGAGTTTAGATTATGCATGTTCATCCCTACCACCTGGAAAGCATTCCAACAGCTCTCCTACCATTTGGCAGCATTCTCAGGCTGACTTTTTTCTATTATAGTTGCCCATTTGAACTGCAGCTTCTTAAAGA